GGGAAGACTTGGATGACTGTTCGATGCGCCATGAGTCAAGGTGGAAGAGAGGTAATAATGTTGGAAAATACGGAAAAAAGTTGCCCAGCAGAATTTTAAAATTTTTTAATGAAATAATTTAAAGTCAGATCTTGTTCATGATGCTATATAATATAAATATGAAATATCTAAATCATACCTCTAAAAGAGGGACAATTGCATTTCTGGAGAATTGTGACCTATAAGGACAGGGACGAGAAGAGCCTCAACCAACTAGTTATCTCTGCTATTGTAGTTTCCACCACTAGAGTGCGAGTGGGTGCACGTCGTTCAATCTACTTTTGGTATCTTAAACTCCTTCCAACCACGAGAGAGCCAAAAGAAAAATCAATCTTGATGATTGATCAACTTTTCCTCTTAGGAAACGTTTACAAATAGCCACAAAAAAGTCTTTCTACTCATCTAAGTTTTAATGGGACTCAATGTGTTATTTATGTAGGTGGGAAGGTCATATTTACGCAATTAGAATTATTTTCGGAGTCTAATTTGTGATTTTAATCACAACGTAACTGGTGCCTACATGGCTTCGTTTGGTTAATCGGATGATGCACTTTTCATCTTCGATAACACATCTGGTTAACCGGACGTATCCAACGGGTTAATCGGACCTCAATTTCTAAATGCCCTTTTGTTCTTCTAATTGGTATACCAATGTAGAAGTTATCTAATGAAACCAACCATGTACATACATTCCAATATCAATTAAAACCTAAAATAACAAATACACAGTATCATATCATAAAAACATAAGCTACCAGCATGTCAGAAATACACAGTATCATATCATAAAAATATGTGAGCTAGCAATAGTACCCGATGGACATATATTGATCAAGCTTATATAATCACGACAATACTTGTTTGTTGGAAAAATGACAATGAGTTGCACAGCAAAATTTTTTAAAAAAATTATTGATTATGAAAACCACCTAGGGCATGTTCACAATGTTATGTAACATAAATACTAAAATCTAAATCATACCTTTGGAGATTTTGAAAACAGCACGTCTAACAGATCACAGTGTTCCAAACAACACCCGGAAGAGTCTCAACCAATTGGTCTTTTTTACTATTCTCATTTCCAAGACTAGAGTGCGAGTGGGCACACGTTGTACAATTTCTCCTTGGTATATTGAGCTCCTTCTAACCACAAGAGAGCCAAAAAAACATTTATCTTGAGATTTGTATCAATTTTTTTCTCTCATGAACCCTTACCGGTAGTCCCCAAAAAAGTGATATGATGAATAATGATACTTATTGGACTATTTATTGAGTTTAGGAACTCATATTCGTGCAACAATTAGGTTTTCCAAAGCTAAAATCACGTAATTCGATTTGAGTTGGTTTGTCACGTCAGCTATTACTATCGGTCGATCGGTTCAATATACTTATAAAACCACACGTCGACCGGTCATTACGTGAAAATTTGTGTTGTTGATTTTAACGTTTCGGTTGACAACCCTTCGTCACAGGTTGACTGATACTAATCCGATTTCTTGATTTCTCAATTTATTTAATATGAAAAACTTGTATAGAGCCTCAGTTTTAACTTAAATAACCCAATGTAGAAGTTACCTAATTAACATAGTCATATAATAGCTTTCTCATATGAAATAAAACTAAAAACTTTAAAATCGAACCCAGAATGATTTTCAAAACAATCTCATTTTCACCTTTGTTTCAGTACAAAAGTGAAAATGAGATTGTTTTGAAAACCATTCTGGGATCGATTTTGAAATTGTGATTAGTTGGTCTTGGAGATCTTGGAGTATTTGACTAAATTTGGTGCTCCCCAGTGCTTCTATTTCCGGAGACCTGGACGAGCATCAGACTAGCTTCAAAGTGCTGCTTTCCGTTCTTGGCCAAACAACCATCACTAGAGCACCTGATACGTCCAATCTATAGGAGCATGAGAAGTACTTTCAGTCACAGAGAAGCTCCAACATGGGAAGTACCTTTAGTCACAGAGTCTTTTGGAGCATGGGAAGTATCTTCGTGGAGGCATCTGCAGTGACGCCTTCGTGGAGGCGTCCATAGTGACGCCTCCAGAGCAGCAACTGTCAAGGAGACGAAACCTTGGCTTGCTTCAGAGCAGACTGCTCCGGAGTAGAAACACTTCTCACCTAGCATTGAGGGGGAAGGTTCCACGACTTAAATTCTAGACTTTTGAGTCTCTAAAAGCTGCGAAAAGGGTTTTCAAGACTCCTAAAAGGTAAAACAATGAATTTTTGGGGTCCAATTCTCCATAATTCATTTATTCCTAAGCTCAATTATTTTAAAAACCCCTCTAGGAGTACTTAAAATCGGATCAGATTAAGAAATAAATTGGTCCATTTGATTATCAATGGTTCTGGACCGCCCACATGAGTTCTTCAAACGTGGTTTGGGTTCATGAATCAAGCCTAATTGCATCACAAGAATTATTGGTACCTGACTTAGGTCCACCTGATATGGTTCAGTCAACTTGTAGAATCGAGTAGAACTTGGTTGATACTTGATAGTTTAGTCCCGAACACTCGCAACGAGTTAGGTCATACGTTGATTCAGTCAACTAAGTAACTGGCTGCATCTTATATCATTAGTTGGAGGGAGACGACCACTTTAATATTTATTAATAGATTTAGAGATTACTAGATCATATTTAGTACAAATTATAGATAGAAAACTAATTAAGGAGTACATTTGAAAAGAAAAAAGATATTTAAATAAGGACACACTGGAAAAAATTATTTCAACAAGTTATAAAAAAAAACATTTCAATAAAATACATACAATATTACAAAGGAAAAAAAAATTAAAAACACACGAGGAAAAATGGTATAAGATAATAAGAGGAAAAAAGTAAAATGGGAGTTGCGGCCCGACAGAAAGGGGCAGTGTCTGAGTTGCAGAGAAGAGAGGGAGAGAAGAAAATGTGAGAAGAGAACGACCCTATTTGGGTCTTTTGGCTTGCTACGTAAAAGTGGTATGTTTCCGAGTTCTGATTGGAGTATAAATTGAATAGGGCACACTGGGTTGACATCATTAAAAATGCGTTTGGAATTCGTTTTAAAATAATTTTATTTCTTATATAAAAATAAAAATGAAAACGTTTTCAATCTCAAACAGAAATTATTTTTAAAAATACGTTTGATAGTTTTATCAAAAAATTATTTTAGTATAAAAAAACTCATTAATGTCTCTCTCTTTCTCTTTGCTCAAGAGAGAAAAAAACAAAAATAAAAAATAAAAAACAACTAAAAATCATTTTTTATTTCTCTCATTTTACACTAAACTAAAAAATCGTTTTCATTTCCGTTTTTTGTCTTTATTGCGCTAAAAGTTGTTTTAAAACATTTTTATTTTTTCTCAAAAAACGGGAACAATTCCAAACACGGCCTAAAATTTTCACGGCAGACTCCAGCTTTTTGTGATGTATCAACCTGGTAACACCAGCACGATTGAAAATGACAAAAGAAAAAAAAAAAAAAAAAGGAAGAATATCTTTAATAGAACAAAATTTTGCTGCCATATTTACAATAATAGAGCAAAAAACTTTTCAAAACAATTTTGCAAACGAAAGTAAGCGTTTATAGGTCCTATGAACATATGCATTACAATCGTCCAGCACGATTGAAAAAGACAAAAAAAAAAAAAAAAAAAAAAAAGGAAGAATATCTTTAATAGAACAAAATTTTGCTGCCATATTTACAATAATAGAGCAAAAAACTTTTCAAAACAATTTTGCAAACGAAAGTAAGCGTTTATAGGTCCTATGAACATATGCATTACAATCGTCGCAATAGTAGAATCTTTCATTGCCTCAGTCGTCAAACACAAAAAGTTCATCCAGCTGCTCATCTGTCCACTCTGGGGGTGAGATTCTTGAAACTGGCAGCTTTGTTTGTGGTTTAGTTCCACTCGCAATTTCAGTTTCTTGGTCAGCAGAGACTTCAACCAGGTTTGCTGTGGCATTAATGGTTTGTGTGCTATGTGAAGAATTATCTCTTTCAGCCGGTATCCAAAGGTTAGGCTGTTTATCTGTCACAATTACGTGGTCACTACAAGTATTCTCTGTAACTGCAATTTTTTTGAATGAAGATTCTTTTTCAGTATTGGCAGTTGGGTTTCTGGAATTCTCGTTGCTAAAGCAGCTGATGTCTGGTATTGTGTTGCCTTCTAATACTCTGTTACCATGCACACTTCCTCTCCGCTCAGATCTTTTTCTCAGATTACTCATGATTCCTTCGGTTCTCTCCTGTGTTACCATTATCTGTGGCATACGTGACGCATTGCAGCGTTCTGTAATAAGGGGGGAAAAATTAGAGAAACTGTTGGAAGAATCTAGAGTTTTAGTAGTTGTTAGTTGTAATTATTTGTAAAATCTATTTATAGCTACTTAGATAGTAGCTGCTAGATGAATAAATTTCTGGTACTTGTATATACGTTTGTATCCTCAGCTTGTTCAAAACAGATATACAAAAAAGAAAGTTCTTCCTTAGAAACTAAGAAAGACAGTTCAATTTAAACAAATAGACAAAAAGAACGCAGGGAAGGGAAAGACTTCCTTAGAAACTAAGAAAGACAGTTCAATTTAAACAAATAGACAAAAAGAACGCAGGGAAGGTAAAGAGAGAGAGAGAGAGACCAGATTGGTAAAAGATCAAATCACTATTGCTGCAAGAATTAAGAAGCTTAATAAGTAAAATGAAGGACAACACCAGACTAATTACCTGAAGTTTCAGCAGCACATCTGACTGATGAAGATGGATAGTTCGTCTTTGAGGGAGGGCCACTGTCCTTAGACATGACCTGTAAAAATGTAACACGTGTCAAGAAAAATGATTAGCTATACAATCATTATCAAGTGAGTGAATGATAGTGTACCCTTTTGCGTGCTTTATCACATCTTTGCATTTGTAGAGCTTCACTCTGCTCTCTATCATTCCATTCACAATCATAACTAAAGACCTAAGGTTCAGTTTTAATCACAATTTTATATCAAAAGAATATAACCTCCTAAATTTGGCTCAATAGTTGTCTTGTGTGGATTTCGAACACATCTTGTCATTAGGGTGTAGAATAAGCCAAACAAGTAGAACGCACTGAAGAAGTAAAGTCCTTTTTCCCGCTTTGAAGCAAACATATTTTCCAAAAGGATAATGAATGGTTTTTACCAGATGAAGTGGATAAAAATTGACACGATCTAAAGAAATTAAGGAATTGGCAATTTTGTATACAGCTATTGAAAAGAAGAATTCCTACGAATTTTTCCACTGCAGTTACCTGCAAGTAACATATGTATCTAACAAAGTAGGTGAGGTTTCATGCAATAGCTGGAAGACCAGAAGTCTCGTACTCGCACGGAGGGAAGCTTGCCACCCCAAGGACACGTGAAGGACAGAAATTAACTTTAATATCCTTCCTCAAATACCAGTACTCAACCAGCCTTCAAACTGTTGTCTAGTTTCTCTTCAGAATTCCATATTAATTTTACATCTAGTTTCAATTTATAAGTCAGTTAATAAAAACATGTGAAGATCCTTATCTCACACAGAAACCATTGTTTAATCTTTAACACCAAACAAACTGTTACTTATAAATCTTTTCTTTGCCAAGTCTCTTTGCGGACTATAACTCTTTGATAAAAAAAACATGACAAATCATCACCAATCTTATTGCATTTTATTTGATTTGTATTTTTTTTTTTTAATTTCCATACCATAACCTGTGATGCATTACATCTCTAAGAAGTCAAACAAGATTGAAAAAGAAAATAGTGGAGCAGTTTTTGCTAGTACCTCAGTATTAAGGATGAATATTAAAAGACAAAATACCTTGACCACATTGTTTAGAGTAATATTGAGATAATACGCAGAGCGTGAAGGGGCAAATACAGCAACCTGAAAAAAATAAAAACAATAATAATAATAATTACTCAGTGTACCATGTTTGGTATCATTGATATTCATGGCATGAATAGAAATATGGTGAATATAAAATGAAAACGAAACCTTCTTGAGTACTAAAACAGCACCAACGGATATGATCTTCCCAAACTCTTCATCTAAAAGAACTTTGCGGTGGATGCTAGCACCCATTGTACCTGAAGGGTCCTGAAATTAAGTCATCAGCCAAGCCATGAAGCAACAATCCATATGAATGCAGTAAACTACATAATGAAAAAGAAATTCACACTCTACTAATGTTCATATCCCAATAAGTTTACCTTCAGAGTTACCATCAAATCACCAAGACCATTTGGAGTACAAGACTTGATAAGAGCAACAACCTAGGAACAAAAGCCATATTATTGTACAAGTATACAGATAAAAGGGAAAATATCAATAGATTTGTCAATTAAGATCAAGAAAACCTAGGGAAGTCACTGATCAATTCCAATTCAACCATGTGGATTACCATTATATGTTTTAGTTGTGGTAATTAAAAAAAAAAAAAAACCTCAGTGTGTTTTATCTTACTGTTGTCTTCCACCCTGTATTTTCAGAAATGCTACGCGCATTCCCTATGTTATACAAAGCATATGAATGTTTTGCATATCGTGCTAAAACTATCCTCTATTTCCTAATCATGTTCGAGACCTCTCCGGAGAAGTAACACCATTTGCAAAACATAAGGAGCAAGTAAAGTTCTTTAAAAAATAATAATAATAAATAAATAATGAGGCGGAGTTTAGCATTTCAATAAAACACATAGGAAGTTTTTGTTATCATCCCTAAGTTTCTGCTTCTGGAAATTAAAAGCTTTTGTTTGTTACTATTTCTCAGCAACCAAAAGGATTTCATATTTTCGATTTGAACGATTTCACTAATAATTAAGAAATTAACAAAGTAAAATACCCAATCCACTTTGTCAGTGTGAATCCCCTTTTTGATCGACCTCGGAGGCGTTCCAGAAATCGCCATGTTACCTAACTCAAACAAACCAAAACAAGAGAAGAAGCGAAACGAAAATTAGAGAAATAAAAACCAAAATTTGACGATCCAAGAAAGAAAAGTCCAAAATCCACACCTTCTCTTTGAACAAAATCCAAAGCAGAAAGCCAGGGGTTACTGGTAAAATCGTCGTCGTCGTCACAGACATCGCCATTTTCAAGAACCTTCCTTATGTACTCCTGAGTAGGGATCGGATCTTCATCGCCGGCGAAGGACCAGTCCTTACGGGCTCTCCGGTGCATGGCAGCTTGAACGGCGCCGGCGGGACCGGGAATGAGCGGCGGCGAGGGAGGGGAGGGCTTGGGCTGCTGAGACTGAGAAGGAGAAGATGAGGATTGGGAGAGAATAGGAAGGTCTTGGTTATGGCGCTTGCAAGGTCGAAGAAAGGGAGTGTCAGAGTCGTCAATATCTAGGGCCTCCCAGGGTTCACTGTCAATATGATCCTCCATTTTGGCGCCAGGAATTTGTTACTTCCGTGTTGCGAAATGAAGTAGCGCGCGATGTTGTGAGAGAGGGAAGAGAGGAATTGAGCGGTTTTGCATGCAGGGGCTTTTTGGACATTTTGGACAGTTTGAAGGGCCCGCTTGGGTAGAGAAGCAACAATCAGGAATAAGAATGAATCCCTTCGTGCTCACTAAGGTGAAAGAAATCACCCCGAACCAGACTATCCAGTTTTTTTTCAGGTTAAAATCAGCCCAACCCGCAGGTAGGGTCGTGGGCCCAAGACCATTACCTCGTTTAACCTTACTCAGCCCAAAATAACCTTATGCACTTTTAAAAAAAAAAAAAAACCCTATATCACCTACCTCTCTCTCTCTCTCTCTCCTCAGCCCAACCCGCAGGTAGGGTCGTGGGCCCAAGACCATTACCTCGTTTAACCCTACTCAGCCCAAAATAACCTTATGCACTTTTAAAAAAAAAAAAAACCCTATATCACCTACCTCTCTCTCTCTCTCTCTCTCCTCTCTCTCTCTCTAGAAACACGCTAAAGTGAATGAAAGTGTTCTTTTTCCACCGTAAAGAACTCTTCTTTCTTGGCCATATCACTTCTTAAATGTGAATGCTTAATGGGTTTTCTTCACTTTCCATTCACAACCATGTTCACCATTTAGAAAAGGATATTAGGGTTTTCTTTACTCTGGTTCATTGATTTTCTGAAATGGGTTTTTGAGGAGTTTTGCTCAGACGCAGATTTTTGGCAGTTTCGGGAGTGTTTGTTTGTTTCTTGGGATTTTAGTGCAATTCCGACATGAGGAGCATTTATGGAGTTTATTTAGTAGCTTTGCTTTGCTTTGGGATGTTTATTTGCTCTTCGTGCTAGGATGATTCAGAGAATGCCAGGAAGAATGTCGCACTTAAAATTTGGAGTTGGTTTACCCGAAGTAATCTGGAAGACCCGAGGTTACCCGAGGTAACCGAATGGTATACGGGTTCTAAAATTAATTAATTGTTGCGGCCCAACATTTTCTCAGGCCGATGATTGCAGGCTGGCCCAAAATAAGCCCAAAAACTGACCCTACCGACTTTCACCCCTAGTGCTCACCAAGGATTGAAAAATGGACATTTGCACCGTTATTTCTGTGGAAATGTAGTTCATGTTTGGTTTGAAAGTTCAAAATACAAAATCATAAAAATTTTAAATTTAAAAAGTTTTTGTAGAGTATTTTTTTTTTCTTAAAATTTAAATTTTAATTCAAATTAACTGGTTTGAACTTTCAAACCAAACAAGCATGTAGTATATTTTCTGCTAAATATCTTAAATTTTCTGTGGAAATTTCATTAAATATTGATAGTTTCATGAAAATATCCATTTTCATAAAAAGTGTAGTGTTAAATGGCTAAATATCGTGAAAATTTTATAAAAATATCTGTAAATTTTTTGAAAATATTTGTAATTTTAAACATATATAAAAATTATAATTTAAATTTTAACAAAGTAAGAGTTTTGTCCTTTTTATTTCAAACTTCATGTATAGGCGTCAATATTGTTTAAATCAATGATGTGTTTTAGATACCTTCAAATTAATTATAAAAACTTCTTTTGGTATTGATAATTTATCTTCTTGTATGAAACTACGAATGTAAGGTGTTTTGGGTTAGGTTGGCTTTTAGCTATTTTACTTAATTTATGAATGCTTATTTAATATTTAAGGTATTATGATCACATTTTATTGTGCATATTTATCATATAATTGGTATTTTGATTAGGAAGCTTATCTAATTTATATACTATTAGCTATTTTAGAGTTTCTTGAAATCTCATTTAAAAATAAAGTGTTTTTATATGAATTTCTGTATTTTACATCAATTTCTATTAAAATTGATATTTCTGTCGATATATCCACAAAATTTAAGTACTAATATAATTTTCATGAATATTGATATTTTCATCCTTTATACTCACAAGGCGAAATATTGCACATTATGTTGTAAATAAGGTCTATGTTAATGTTAATTTGAGTACTGAAAATGCAAAAATGATATATTTCACGCGTGTTTTTAGTTTGTGCTCTAATTTAATATTTGGTATACTTGGTGTAAAATTTTCTATTAAGTATAGTTTCTGACAAATTTAATATTAAAAATAGTGTTACACTGAAGAAAGATTTATCTACTCAAATGTCAAAAGTTAATATTAGCACATCAATTATGCATGGCTATAAATCTTGTGTTGCTGAAAAAATAACATGAATCTTTATGGTCTTTATGTTTTAGATTCCCTAACATTGTTTTTCGTACATCATACATTATTTTGCGTTATTAAGATTTTTCTCTTTTTAGGTTTTTCCTTATTATGGCTTTGAAAAAATAAGCATAAATTTACATGTAAAACAAATATTTCGAGTTTACCTTTCTTTTTACAGAATTCAGAGGGAAACTATTTGGTGGCAGTGGTGAAGTTAGGATTTATTTTAGGAGGCACAAAGTAAAAATATTAAAATCGCTAACATAGTAAACTCCTAATACTATTAGCTTTTTTTTTTTTTTTTTTTTTTTTTTTTTTTTTTTTTTTTTTATTAACTAGTTATGAACGTGTAAATTAGATTAAAAAAACCATTTAAAAGTACCTAATATGTATAAAAAAATAGTAGTTGAGAGTGCCGTAAACAACAAAATATTGATTAAGTACATAGGCACTCATTGGAAGGAAAAAAAACCTACATCAACAAGGCAAATTAGAGAAAATGTGTTTATGAGAAAATAGTCGTTAAGAGGAAAAAAATCTTTAATTAGAGGCACATTTGACAAAAATTATTTTAATATGTATCATAAAATTTTTTTATGAGGTTTACTTTTGATATAATAAAGATTATATGAAAAAGTCTTTTAAAGGGTACTAATTTGAAATAAAAAATGTTTCACAGGAGTAAATTTGAAAAAAAATAATAATTCAATTAGATACATGTAAAAGTAATATATTTAATAGAAAAAGATAAAAAAAAATAATAATTGAGATTGAATTTTGTGAGGTTATATTTAAAATTTGACATGCCCCCGGCTAGGGGTGGCAATTCATGTCACGTGTCGTGTTTGTGTCGCATTTTGATCGTTTCTTTCTAAATTTACAGTCAACCCGAATACGACTCGTGATACGAAATTTTTTAAAAACCGCAACACAAACACGACAAGACCACTTTACGAGTTGACACGACACGACACGAAAATGACCCGTGACACGAAATTGACTCGTGAACCCGAAATTGACACGAAAATTGTATACTTTTATTTAGCTTTTTACATATTAGAAATAATTTAAAATTCATAACACACTAAATGTAATGACTGAGAAAATCTTGATGTTAATTAGTGTAATTTACATAATTAAATCATGGATTTCCTAGATAATGACATATTTTGTTTATGGAGTTAATAATATTATTCCAAAATTCTATATATAAAATTTTATGTCATGACTTGGTCGATAATCTTCACCACAAATTAAGACAGGAGAAATTTTTTGATTCGACTATGACTCGTAATTCTACTCATAAGAATTCCTGAGTATTGTATAGTGTTAGCATTACTCTGAGAAGCACTCTAACATTTAAAAAAATCCTTAATTGCCAATTAGTAAAAATCAGAGTTATGTGAGTCTCGTTTTCAGTAAAAAACCATAAAGCCAGGCTCGAAAATCGACATTGTCGGTTACCATGTTTTACTGAGAGTTTAAGACACGTATGTTGAACTCAGATTTTAAGTTATTTTAAGACATCTTTTAAAAGTCAGAAAATAGCTCAAATAATATACAAGATTTTAAATCTAAACCGGTATTAATTTCTACCGAATATAGTGTAGGACTGTGTTTTAAAAATCACTGGAAACATTTGTCCTGAAAACTGATCCAGAAATCACTGTCAGCACAAGCTTGATATGATGAAAGAGGACTTTAGTGGGAGACAATGATGAGACATGAAGAATTAAAAAGCCTTTTGAGGTGCCACATTTTCTCTTTTTCTCCTTTTAAGTGGCGCTTATCTTAGTGAGAGTTAAGCCAAAGTTTAGTTTAACTAAGTTAGATTAAAATGATTAGGATAAAGACTAATCAAGATTAGTCTAAGTCTAAATAAATGATCACTTAAGTGCATTAAACCTTTCTCAACTTTTTCTCTCTTTTCTTGTGTTGGGCAACCTCTTCCCTCTCACCACCTCTCTCAAAATTTTTCTTTTTCCACACTCAAACCCCACTAGCCAAAAGTACTAAAAGGAGAATAAGCATTTGGTAGAGTTTTTACAAGTGATCTTGAAGGGGTAATCTCTTAGTTTTTCTTTTCTTTTTAAGAATGTTCAAGTTTAGATTTTTATAGAGTAAAAAGTTTAAATCTTTGTATTGTAGGACTTTCTCATTTTGGTGGTCAAAATCCTTCCTCTCTTAAGCCTTGTGGTAAGACTTTTAAAAACTTATCTCGATCTCTTAACTTTAAGAACAAAGTTTAGATTGTTTATAAAGTTGTGTTTTATGTGTATTAAAAGGTTAAATCTTCACATGCATGGGATTTTTAACGCTAGATCCATGTTTCGAAATTGTATTTCATGTTTTAAGGTTTTTGTTTTGTGTGTTTGGAACAAGTTCTAAATTTTTCATGTTAACCTTAAGAGGATAATGATGGAAAAAATTTAAGTTGGTAAGCTTTATTTTCAAATAAAAATTTTTAGTCTACTTTGACTTAAAATTCTTAGTTGTTAAATTCCAAATTGAGAAAAATTATGTTTCACAAAAGTTGTAGATCTTGATGTGGTGAACATTTTCTTTTGATTGGAAAAAATCTCGATTCTGCCCCTAAAATATGTTTTTAGACGTTTTTCCAAAGTTGCCAAGAAATTCATCAAAACTGTCCAAACTGTCAACTTGAACTAGTTTTTGTTTTGCTGTTTTTGGACCCTTTAGAGGGAAATTTTGGGATTTTTGAGTCACTAGTTTTAAATTTTTTGACGTTACGAATAAATCTCCGTGACTGCAAAAAATCACAATTTTGACTCTAGGACGTGTTTTCGAGACATTATCAAAAACTGCGTGAAATAATATTTGTGCCCTTGTTATTTTAAGATTTAAGCCCCATTCTGAGGCTGAACCTCATTTTTCATGAAACACGAAACTTTTAGATCATATTAAGACGAAATAAGAAGTTTTTAATGTGTTACAAACTTATGGTTATCTTCTAAAAAAAATCACTAAGTGCTTACGGGTCCAATTCCTAGTATCCGACGATATTACTAGCAGTAAAATGAGATTTACTAATGATTTCAAAATAATATTGGATTGAGAATTTTTAACACTAAGTACAGGCCCAACACCTATACTAGACCCGCAACTTTTCAAGCCTAAGTCAGGCACGCTAGTGTAAAAGACCGTTGTAGACATGTTGGAGATTAATGAGCCTTAATACAATTTTGGGCCCAATCTAAGAAATAATGTGAAATAGTAACTTACACAAAAATCATGGTAAATAACTGATTTAAGTTAAGACCGATTAGCAAAGGCAATTAAGGAAAAATATATGATAAGAATTTATTAAAACGATCCTTGTAATGCAAAAGAAGTTAAATGATCCCTATTTAAAAAAGGGAATATTTCTAAGTATAGGAATGAATTCCTAAATAGACTAAGCTAATAGTTTAGCTTATAATGAGTCAAATTCACACTCTCAATAGGTTTTCTTTATAGAACACAGCAGTAGAGGTTAACCTTAACGAGTAATATAATATAGTCGCAACCTTGACTGATAGCAGGTAAGTAGGAATCTTGCTTACAGTATGAATAAGTTTTAAAGTGAAATCTATACATAGCTTATATACATGTTTATGCTCTATAATATATAATATCATTTCATATCATGTAACATGCTCACTAATGAAATTAATGAGAACAGATTAAAGTTGAGTGTCTTACCAACCTCCCGAGATTGGGGGGCTTATGTTCAGGGAAAAAATGATGAAATGAATTATGGTCATGGTGTAGTTGGGGACCTTACAAACCCTCTGTATCCGCTGATCGCGCGTAATCGGTGCGAACACTCGGGCCCATAAGAATTAATAAGTCAAGTTCATAAAAGAGCATAATTGGTACATGCATTACTGTTATGCTTTAAGTATTTTGTTTTTAGTTAGCGATACTTAAATTCCTACTTACTAAGTATAAACTCACTCCTAAGATGTATTTATACTATAGGAAAGCAACAAATGAAAAGTGAATGATGAACAATGCGCAACAGTAGGCGAGCAGTGTGGAGAATGAGAAATGAATTCCGCTCGCATTTTTATTCCGCAATATGTTTTACTATAATAAGATCTTTTTAATTATATGTATGTAGTATGGTTTTAAGAAGACCGAGACTTCACTTATAATTTAAAAGTTAATGTATGATCTTTTGAAAAAAAAAATCTGTAAATTTCACTTTAATTATTAAAAGTATTTTAAACTACTTCATGATAGTAAGTTTAAGAGACGCCTTCCTAGATTGGGTCGTCACACTAAATTACAATAACTTCAATTGAAATTAAGCAAATAATAGTATAAAATTTTGAGTATAACTATCATGATATCATAAGTTCATCATAAAATAAAAATATATGTAATGAAAAATGTATGTATTTTTTAGTTTTTTACGAGTTTCGTGTCATATTCGGGTTAGGCGGGTCCAACTTGATATTGACCCTTGTTTTTCGTGTCAATTTCAGGTCGACTCAATTCTAACCTGAACATCTTTTTTCTCAACCCTAACCCATGAAATTCGTGTTATTTTCGAGTCGTGCTGCCGTGTCATGACTTATTTTACCGGTCCTACCCCTAACCCCACCTCCCTCCACTACTGGCTAAAGATATCCCAGTAAAACTTTATAGACTCTATTGCATATAATTATACCTTTTCTTCACGTTATTAAAATAATAACAAAAAGCCTCTCCTAAAACTAATATTTTTTTCCATTATTAAAGACTAGTTGAAACTTCGCATAAGTGCTCAAGATTATGTAGGTAAATATAAAATGACAAAATGCAGCAAATAGTATTTTTTCTTATCTTAATTAAAGTAAATAGCATATTTTTATGCTCTTTCTGTGCTACGGTACTTTTGGGAGTACGGGTAGTCCAGGTAAAAACATGATTTACTATTAAGATTGAAGAATGAGAGTAGAGAATGAGAGCCGATCTCTATATTTATTTGCTCTTTTTTATTGTGAAATAGGAGTAAAATTGGTAGGCTCTACTCAAATTTAGGATTGAGAAATGAGATTAACACTCTTATGCCCCCCTTGGAATTGAAGCTCTCATTCTTAATGTTAACATTAAATTACTATCATACCCCTATTTTACTTATAAATATAAAATTCAAAATAAAATTCAAAAAATAATAATTAAAACATATATTTATTATTTTATTTACCTAATGTTATAATATTAGCCTAATTATTGTTCACTTGAATATAATAAATATGTAATTTATTTGTTTAATAAATTAATCATATATTTTAATGTTTAACACTATTTTATATTTTTATATATTTTATTTAAAATTTAAGGAGTTATTTTTATATTTTAAATAATTGTACAATTTATATTTATTATTATTACCCTATTATTACACTAAGTATTTTAATTATATTAAATATTTTAATTATGATTAATTTTAATATAATAAGTGCTCAATTTATTTTTTAAATTAAAAATATAAAATTGATTTAAGGGGTATATTCCTTCTGATTATGGGTGTAAGTAAATACATGAATGAGATTTGGAGTCATTTTGATTCTAAATCCTATCACTAAGTAAATAAATTATTTCGACTCCGATTCCTTATTCCAAATCATATCCACTTCAAATCTAGCCAACTTCGATTCATGCCCATTCTGATTACGCGTAGGTAAGTATGATGATTGTGGTGGAAAAATCTCTCAATCTTTGCTCAAATATGCCTAAAATCGATGAGAGGTATTCATTACATGAAGAGATTTTAACCTATATTATTGTTCAAAATTCACAGAAACCGAACACGTGAAATATCGGCCCTGTTTATTTCTGTTTCCGTTTTCATTTTTTACATTTTTCGAGGTTAAAAACTGAAAACGTGTATAAAAAACGCGTTTGGTGAAAAAAATTTTACAAAACAAAAACAAAACCGTTTTTGTCGTTTTCTGAAAATCTGAAAACGAAAAAAACTTATTTTCATTTTCTCCTCGTTTTCCTTTTCTCTCTTCAGCCCACCAGACCTCGACTCCACCTCGTACATGAACGTGTATCCTCCTCCTGGCCTTTGCAGATTAGGAAGAAGCGTGCTCGATGACCTCGCCGATGTATTGTGACACCCAACTTTTTTTTTTTAATGAACCAAAAACTTTGCCCTTGTTTGTTTCTGTTTTCATTTCTATTTTTCACATTTTTCAAGACTAAAAAATGAAAACGGAAACATAAAATGCGTTTGGCCTAAAAGTTTTTTAAAAACAAAAACAAAACCGTTTTTGTCTTTTGTGAAAAATTAAAAACGAAAAAAATGTATTTTCAATTTCTCGTTTTCGTTTTCTGAAAAACGGATTTCATTTTTTTTTTTTCATTTTCTTCTCTCTTTTTTCTGAAATCGTTTTTGTCTTATATAATGATGTTTATTCAATATATTTATTTAATATATTATTACTTAATATATTTAATAATATTATTTATTTAATATATTATTACTTAATATATTTAATAATATTATTTATTTAATATATTATTATTTTAAATATTATTACATGTTTTTAAAAATTAAACCACCAAACGCAGTTTCAGTTTTTTTTTTTTAAATTGAAATCAATCGCTGAATAAAACTACCAAACGCATTTTTAGAAATAATTCTAAAATGAAAATGAAAACGTTTTTATTTTTATTTTTATATAGAAAATAAAATTATTTTAGAACCAATTCCAAACGCACCCATCATTTTTTTAGGAGTAATGGGATTCCCGTTCCTCTCTCTGGTGGCAGCCCCCTGGAAAGGGATTCCTTTCTTTTCTCATTCCATTATTAGCATAATAGTCTTACAATAGTAGAGTTGATTCCTTGCAGTCCCAACCAATTTTCCTTTTTCCGAAAACGGGAAATCTCAAATAGGAATCAAACCTTTGAGGCATCAATAATTTTTTGTAATACCACAAATACCCATATACAAAATAGAAAATGAAAATTTTAAAATGACTAACCGTGTCCCTTAACTCTTAACATTTTTGTTTCACTCTCCACCAAAAGCCCTAATCCCTATCTCGTTCTCGCCAGCAGTATTTCAGAAATCGGAGAGTTTTGCCCGAAACTTCAGGTACGATGCGATTGCGTCATTCTTCATTTTCTTTTGGATTTCGATTGTGGTTTATCTATTAGAATTGGATTATTTCCCCATATTCTTTTGGGTTTTGGTTTGATTTTTGATTTGGGTCTTGTTTTGTCAAGGTGCTGGTTCTATGATCAGTTTTCATGTTTTCTCTTTCTATCTCTCTCTTGTTCTCATCTGTTTTTTTTTTTTTTTTTTTTCCTGTTCGTTTTCTATCTTTTTGTATGGGTACTTTGCTATTTTTATTTCCCCGTTGATTCACTTTTGATCTGATTCGTGAGCTTTTCAATGATGCGAGCAAGTTTAGCAAGGGAAAAACAATAACAAAACAAAACTAATTGTCCATTACATGAACCGTATTACTATTTGGCCCCGATAATCCTTCCCTAACCATTAAAGTCCTGCTTGTTGGCAGTTCAATTAATGTGCAAATGAATCAATCTTGATCCATTTTTTTCTTATTTGTTATGATGATCGACTTATATATCAATTTATCAGATCATATGATTGTTTGCTTACTGTTCTATTGTTTTTCCTTTTCTTTTCTTTTATAATCTTTTATTTACTTACTAATATGCTGGTTTAGATGATAAATGAGAAAAGAAAAAGCCTTAGGGCCCCCAAATGGACGGTAAAATACGACAAGGCAAAGTAATATTGGACCCCAAAACTGGGTATTATTTGCGATTTATACATCAATACTTGGTTTTGATGTAAATAATTTTTTTTTTATGAAAAAAATGAAAACATTAATTATTATTGCTCTTATCTTAGTGAGAAAGTGGCGAACAAATATATGCTGATTTTTTTCTCCTCAAAATTAAGCAAGCATTTATTTCATAAAATTTTTTTTGAAGGACATTTCTTTCATAAAATTTTAAAAAATATATATGTATATATTTTGATTATTGCTAAAAAAATTAATAACCAAACACTATTATATTGCTTTTGGAGCCAACAACACTTAGAATTACAGTTCTTAGAATTACAGTTAACCAAACACTCATCTTCTTTTTGTCACAGCTGCTTTTCCCTTTACCATTGTTGACAACAATTCTTCTAAACCTACAGCATTATCAAACAGGACCTAAGTTTATTTATTTTTATTTATTTTTCTAAATCATATTTTTGAGTGAATAGGAAAATATCCAATAGTGGGCCCTGTTTTCATTTTTTTTTCTTTCTATGTTCTTAAATATTTTTAATAGAAATAGTTCAATCAAATTGCTTTTTCTAGTGATCAATTTCATTTTAGTTTACAATTGGGAATTTAATGAACCGTGTTGGATTGGTACATTAGAGCTCAGGAAGTTCACTTGCAAATTACAGATTGGTTGACCGGTAGGGAATAGGAAAGAAGATATACAACGAATTTTTATAATGAGTGAAGATTTTGAATATATTTCTTACAGACCTAGATTCGATTTCTTCTCTCTTTTGTAGGGTCCATCTTTTAGAACAGTGAGTAGCTTACTAGCTTATCAAATTGAAGCCAATGGATTTTGGGTTTCTCTATAGTTTTGATCTTCTTTTTATTCATGTTGTAAATGAGATTTTAATTTGTTTACTATTAATTTTGGTTTTCTGTACAGTTTTGATATTGTTTCTAAAGTTTTAGAAGGTATAAGTTTGAGAAAATTTTAGAGAGAAGACGAGAGGCACAAGGAATGTGTGAAAGGCTCAGCAAGTTACTGAGCCCAGAGCTAAAAATTAGTTATATAGCCTTGAGAATCAGTTGCAGTACGGTGAGGAATCAGGCTGTTACCTGTACACTTCTGTACGATGCTAACTGACTATACAATTAAGTAAAGGATAACAAATACTAACAGAGAAATTAAATGTACAAGCCAAGTTCTCTCAACATTTCTTATATAAACTATACATGTTTGGTTGGTTTGTTATGTGGTTTACAAGATGTTGATTTAGATACTCAATTGGTCTGTGCGAGAGTGTTCTGTTGGAGGAGACAAATGTTCAAATTGACTTGCTTATTGTTGATTTTTGTGTGCTGCATTAAAAAATAACAAAATGAAAAAAAAAGAAAAAAGTTTCCATAGCAACTAGCAAGTTTATGACCAAGTTAAAAAAGTGTTTTTACTTTTTATTGTTTTTTGTTAACTAAGCCTTGTCGTGGGCAACAATAATTTTGACATTTGATGCTTATGAAAGATCTGCAGGTTTGTGTACTTGTAATTTATATGTTTGCATTCCTTTCATTTCTGAGCCAAAGCCGCATCTTCTGTAAATTCAATTTCCACCATATTTACCATGGGCTTGGAATTTCAAATTTTGTTTTCAAATTTTACTTGTTTTCTTTTTCAATGGGATAACGTGGAGATCTTGGATTGATGCTTGTATTACAGAGTGAGGCTCAGATTGTTTGTTTGTTTATGGTCTTTCTTGTTCAGTCGTGTAGGATGCAGACTAATACAGAGACCATAGAAAGAGGAAGAGGCAAGAATAAACATTTTTGGACAATGGATGAGGACGCTGCATTGCTTGAATCATTGCATGAACTATATCAAAGCAGCAAGTGGCGGGGTGATTCTGGCTTCAAGAATGGGTACGCAATTCAACTGGAGACAATGATGGAAGGGAAGTTACCTGGTTGTGGATTAAAGGCCTCACCCCACATTGAATCGCGGATCAAAACGTTGAAGTCAAAATATTTTGCCTTATCTGAGATGTTATCTCATAGAGGCTTTGGTTGGAACGATAAACAGATGATGTTAATATGTGATAAACGTGTTTATAACGAATGGGTGAAGGTAAATCTGCACGTATCTTGTTCTGGTATTCAGTATATGCGTTCATCGATTTATCTCTCAAAGGTTTATGATGTGCTTGACTTGTAGAGCCACAGGGAAGCAAATGGACTGTATGGTAAACCATTTCTGCACTATGAAACATTGAAGGAGATCTATTGTAAGGAGCGAGCTAGTGGTGCCAATGTACGCAGTTCTATCGACAGGGATGACATACAAAGAGAGGATGCGGACCAAGAAGATTTGGACATTGTAGATTTGCAGTCAAATCCTGTTGCCGATGTGAATGCGGAGACCCAAGTTGATGGCTCAGGAGACTATGAGGTGTCATTTACTCAACAACCAAGTAGCCGGCGGCGTAAATCGGCAGAAAATAGTCCAAGTGTCTCAAATCGTAAATGTAGAGTTAGAATTAGGGTTGTGGAGGAGATGGGTAAGAGTTTTGGGAGTATGGCTGCTTCTATAGCGACAATGGCACAAAAGTTAGACAACGTTTGGTCAAATGATAAAGAGGTGGCCACTATGCAAGCTAAACTAGACAATGAGTTGACGAAAATACAAGGCCTAACTGAATTGCAAGTCTTTCGAGCGACAAACATCTTGGCTACAAAACATGATTTGTTGAGAGTGTTCTTTTCTATGTCTAAAGAAAGGAGGAGATCATATGTCTTCAACCTACTAGAGTATGGGCTCTAGCCGGCGACTTCCATGTGTTGTTTGCATGAATGTGCATAATTAATTTAGTTAATATATTTGGGATTATTTATTTAATTTTTGAAGCTCTACGCTGGATTTAGGTACTAATTCATTTAGGTTGTAATTAGGTTCGGTTAAACTTATGTTTTTTTTTTTTTAATTGAAAGAAAAACATAATGACATCCCCAACTTTTGATAATTACAGTTAAGGCTTTATTGATTTAACTTAATCACAATGACATCCTACAGAATTTTTAGAAGGCCTTGGATGCTCCAAAACGAAGCCTGGGATGCTCCGAAACGAGTAAAAAAGGATGTCTACCTTGAGTGGAATGAAGATTGTTAAAGAAAAACACAAAATAAAATTCTAAAAATAATGTTTAAAAACAAGAAAAAGTAAATGTTTTGTCTTTCTATTGCCTTAAGGATCCTTTTATGGTGGAATTCTAAAAAGTGCTTTACCAGTAGAGTACTGTTTTTTTACTGTTGAATTATTTTTTTAAAGGTCAGATCTACAGTAAGAGCTTGTAATTATGTACGACATATTATAAATTTTTAATACAAATATATACATATATGACTATTAAAAAATTAATTTAATGATTAAAAAAATAGTACTACACCGGTGGAGCACTTTGTGGGGTTCCACCATAAAGAATCTCTTAAAATTTAGAATTTTTTTTTCAGTTTTTTCTTTCTTTGTTTGAAAGGGTATTTTTGGTATTTTAAGGTCAAATTATGTTATCCTTTTTCTTCTTTTTTTTCTTTTTTTCTTTTGCTAGTTAGGTTAAATTAATGTGACGTTTAGTTCATAGATTTAGAATAATAATTCAAAATTATTTTCAATTTATATATATTTTTTGTGTAAAAAAATATTATAACGAACTATAAATTATAATTCAAATCAAAACACGGCAACTAAATGTACCATAAGATTTCCAAAATGCAGGGTCTATTTTCCGAATAAAACTAAAAATAACTCAAAAAATAATAAAAGATGCTGTTAAAAAAAATAAAAAGATGATATAATTGGTCAGACCTCCGTCCCACTTCGAGAACAAAAATGGGGTCCACGTTTAACGCGTCATTCGCGGCTTAACGACGTGAGGACTTGGGAGATCCACAAAATAACCTCAAACATATCGCTTCCAATGATTTCTCCACTTTCCCAACCGCGCTTTTCGCTTGCCTTTTACCCTTCGCTACAAATCTTCAAACTCTTTCGGACAAAACAACCTCTCTCCCCAACGCTCTCTTTCATTTCAATTCACCCCCAAAGAAGCAAGAAAAAAAAAAGAGTAACAATAATAAAGGACACACCACCCACAAACTTACAAAACTCAGGTAAGTTTATTTGGACATTGAAAGCGTTGTGGGCCAAGATGATTGTCGTTTGTTTTTATTGGTATTTAGTGAACGTTTAGTTTATAAATTCAGAATTATGATTCAGAATTATTTTTTATTTATGTGTATTTTTTATGAGAAAAAATACTGTAATAAATTATGAATCATAATTTAAATTATGACATGAATCCTCTAACCAAACACATTCTTAAAGAGTCAATCAATATACGAAGAGCATCACATTTGATCGACGAATTCTAGGGAGGATTAAAAAAATAATAATAATAATTACCGGTGGTTGATATCTATGCTTCATTTTGTTTTTGTAGATTTCATATTTCTAGATATCATCGCGACACTTGAAACTAAGGAATACAAATCATTAATTAACGTTTATAAAAGTCAACATTTATAAAATAAACGTAGTACAAATTGTCAATTTGGATTTACTTTTCCCTTTTTCTTTTCGTTCTCTCCGCGTTTTGAGAATATTTATACCTTAAATTTGATTGGCACCTTTTTATTGTCTGCTGTTTCAATGACATTTTTGATAATCTTGTTTTGTTTCGTATTCATGCAAAGAACTGACGTGCAGTGCATTTTGGGGGTGGACGGTTTGTTTGTTGGTTTTTTATTTCATAAGATAAAATAAATAAATAAAGTAAAATAAAATAAAGAGGGGGAAAGAGCAAGAGAGAGAGAGAGGGAGGGGGAGTATAAAAAGGAGGAGAGAGAAGAGGGGATGACGGATTCGCCAACGACACCAAACCGCGGAGGAAGAGCGTCGTCGTCATCGTCTTCTCTGATGGACAATCTTCTGGGGCTCCTCAGAATCCGTGTTAAACGCGGCATCAATCTCGCCGTTCGAGACGTCCGTAGCAGCGATCCTTATGTCGTCGTCAAGATGGGCAAACAGGTTTCTCTTTTGCCATTTTCTTAATACTATTCGGGCTTGGCATTAACAAATTAATTTATCACCATTTCTTTTTTTTTTATTGAAGTATTTTTCAAGTTAAACAGAGTGATAATGCCTGTCCCTTCTTCTCATTGTAGTTCTTTTTTTTTTTTTTTTTCAGTTTTCTTGTTCGATTTTGTTGTTTAAAAGTTGACTTTTCCCCCCCTAATGTATAATTCATTCATTCTTATTGCTAAATAAATTTTCATAAAAGATATTGCAATAAGTATTGGTGTGTGTCTATATATCTAAAATGGAATGTATATATGTTGATGTTTGTTGTTTTTGGATAAAACATAAAATTCCTTCATGGGCATGTGGTGTTTTTCACCAAAAAGTTTTTACTAGTTTTTTATATCATTGTCTGAGAAATTTGGAGTTAGAATTGTTGATTGTGAGGTATTTCACGGCGTTGCAAAATAGGGACAGAAATGTAGTTCTTCATTTCTTCAATTTGATTCCTTTGTTTGTTTGTTTTTGTTTTTTTAACAATTAGTCAAAAAAAAAAAAGTATTAGGCAGTTCCTTTTTGTTCTGCCTTTTCTAATTGAATGTAAACCTTTGATGCAGAAACTGAAGACACGTGTGATAAAAAAGGATGTCAACCCTGAGTGGAATGAAGATCTAACTCTTTCTGTCACAGACCCTAAACTTCCAGTCAAGCTGGTAAGCGATTCTCTTACTGTCATGATCGATATTTAAGATCCAACTGCCAAAAATTTAAAATTAAAAGAAAAAAGAGAAGAAGCAACAATGGGCCTATTCAAATTAATGATAGATATTCATATCAATATTATGTTAGGATCTTGGTTGAGTCTCACATTGTTAAAATATGGACTTAGCATGTGGGTTTATAATCACTTGGGCACCCTCTCCCTACAAGCTAGTTTTTGGGGATAAGTTTTACCCAAGGGTTATAACAATGTTCCTCTTCCAGACTTCCTTGTACTAGTACATTATTCTGAAAATACAATAGAAAGACTGTTGTTTGTGATGATGTAAATATTTTTTTCTGGTTATGAGTTGTTAGTTATATCATAAGACAGTTTAGTGTCAAATTTCTTCTTATGATTCTAGATCTGATGAAATGTTTGCTTATAGACTTTAAAATTTAGCGCCCTACTTGTACTCTTGCATTTGTATTTGGTATATTTTGTTTGTCTATTTTCCTTGCAGCAATGCTGTATCTCTCTATTGGAAGTATTTTCACAAAATAGTTCGTTTCATGTTGGTATGGTTAAGCTGTATAGCTTTTATACTGCTTACGTTTAAACAAATTTCTCTAAACTGTCTTTTTCACATAAAGATGTAGTTTGTTAAAAAAAAAAAAAAAAAAAAGGATTTGGTTAAATTATGGAGTCAGAGTTAAGAATGCAAAAAAGTTTGTTTGTCGAATTAAGATTTTCGCCGCTTCAAGATATTAGTTGAATAGGGAGCCAAAGATGGACATATTGAATCAAGTGCAGTTAATGCATCTATTAGATTATGTTATTGACTTACTTCATAGACCTTCAAGGAACTATCATGCGGTTAAGAATGAGAATTGTTTTATTTCTATGCGTTACAGACCGTGTACGATCACGACACGTTTAGCATGGATGACAAAATGGGAGATGCAGAATTCGACATAAAAGCGTATATAGAGGCTCTGAAGATGAACTTGGAAGGCCTTCCAAGCGGCACTATAATAACAAGAATACAACCAAGCAGGCAAAACTGTTTGGTTGAAGAAAGCAGCATCATGTGGAATGAAGGCAAGGTCATCCAAGATCTCTGCCTCAGATTGAGAAACGTTGAATGCGGTGAAGTAGAAGTCCAATTGCAATGGATCGACCTTCCCGGTAGCAAGGGTTTATAGAGTCTATGAGTGCTCTATCTGTGTTCTGTCCTGCGTTACTTATGGGTTAGTTTGAAGCTTATACTTTTACCGTTAAAGTGAAAAATCACAGAGTTGGATATATATATATATATAATGAGCTGACCTTGTATGTGTTTGTATTTTGCCTGTCTTATAGTCCATATTATAGGTGAAGAATTTTTGCTGCTTTCTAATAAACATAATACCGGAAATAGGCGTTCTTCTTATATTGTTGGAAATCTCTAAGCTAGCAAGTGCATGCTTTAAAATTAAACTTGCCCCTTGTTCAATATAGCCGTTGGGCTTTGGCTCTTTTATTACGCGTACTTCTCTTTCAGTGTTTTCTGGGTGTTTGTCAACTTGCCAGTTGCACATCCTAGTATACTTGTGTGTTTGCCTGCAAAATGCTTGTACCTAATTTCAAAACTTGAAAAAGAGTCTTGAAAAGCAGCTTTTGCACTCGTGGAAGCAAATGGTAATTTAAATGGTTTCTCCTACTTCTGAAAGGTTGCTCTTTTTTGGGATTTCAGTTATCTCTTTTCTGTTGTGCTTCAACAACTGCCGGTAAAATTTGGCATCATATGCAGAGACTCTATGAAGAATAGAGGTGAAAGTTTGGGCCGCCCAAAAAATGAAGGGTAGGCCTATCCCGACCCTAAAGCCCGATGACCTTAGGACCGGGCCTGGTCGCTCTGAAATTTTATAAAAGTTTTTTAATATATATTTTTTAGAAAGTATGTTCGGGCCAAGCTATGCTCACCTGAATAAGTTTTCGTGCTATAAACATAGGCCCCACTGGGCCGGAGGTTTAGGCCCGGCCGGGTTGGGAGCCGAGCTAATAATGTCGGGTCTCAGATTGGCCCGTAGCTTAGCCCAAACTTGCAACTCTAATTATGAACATATAACATAATTTATATCGTATCCTAAAGTAATACACATTAATAAGAGAATGAGAGTTAGTGAGAGAGGCTCAGAGAAAGAAAGAAAGCTTCAGTATTTAGCTGGAGCTCTGACAGTGCCTCCGGGTGTGTCGTCGGGCTTTGCGTCTTTGGACTCCTCTCGACGTCAGCTTTCTTGTGATGGTGGCTGCGCGTGGAACGGCACATCCGTTAGAGCGGATTTACACTCCCATAGAGTATTGATATGCAAGGTGGTGAGATTCTCTTGAAAACAGTGTTTCCTTTCTCTAATTCATTCGCCTCTCAAACCTTGAAGTTGTTCCTCCCAAATGCCCTTCATCTCTTCCTCAAACTTTTCACTCTCTAAACCATAGATGTCGTCATCGCGCTGCCGCCAAAACACAGATGACCATGCCCCTTGTCGCCGTTGTTGCATCATACCATTATAACTACCGGAATCCGAGTAATTTAAAAATTCTCAAAAGATTTGTTTTTGTAATAAAGGTTGTTTGTTTAGATTTATACATCGTATTATAAGCTTTTTTTGGTAGTATTATTTTATAGAGAAACTTTGTTAAGTCCTGTTAAGAATATTTAATTTAGATAAGTGAGGAGGATTAATAATAAGTTTCTTTGAACTTTTTAGTTTGTGTCGTCGTTACAAAATTTGTGTTGTGAGTAATCTTTTGATGAGGATGTTGTTTGAACAAAGAATATTTAATTTAGGTTTTTTAAGACTTTCAACGGTTTTTAATGTTTCTTAGGCACATTAGATGACAATTTTTTTAAAATCCGTTGTTAAATATGCCACATTATGCGGCAATTTTTTTAAAACCCGTCGTGTAATGTGCGTTTTTTGGAACCTTACAGTGTTTCATGTGCGACCTTCATCCTATGTCTTAGACATTTAATAACTCTGGATATGGCGATAGTTTGATAAACTATCGTTAAATCTTTTAACGATGGTTTTTAATCGTTGTCTTATCTCTAAGTTGTAGTAGTGAAAAAAAGAGTTGAGTGTGGTTATATAGTTTTTCATCCGTTTGTTTTTAATAAATGCAAATAGAAAGAACATGTGATTGTATTGCTTTTTTTTTTTCTATATATTTTAACAGAAATTCCAAAAGAAAATCCTAATTGCAGAGATAGGTCATCCATTTTGGAGAGTAGAAGATGAGAAGGCTTCGATTTGGTGCAACCCAGCCCATTTTCACCTTATTATTTTTGTCGTACACCTCAGCAACACTGAGCCTACAGATAGTGGTAGTTAAAAATATGGGTTGAGGGCATTTTGATCTGTTTAGAGGAAAAGTGAATCACACGTGATTCACATGCAAAAATCTGTTAAAAACTTGACGAAATCTGTTAGAAGGGTGTCAATTGCACTTAATTAAGGGGATGTTTGGTACCTAGATTCGTTTCCTGATTCGAATTATAGTTTGTGGTTCGTTACAATATTTTTTCTTACAAAAAATACACATAAATCAAAAATAATTCTAATCACACATAGTTTGTGGTTCGCTACAGTATTTTTTCTTACAAAAAATACACATAAATCAAAAATAATTCTAATCACATGATTCTAATCCATGAACCAAACGTCTCATAATTCAAGAGGAGAAAGTATTTTGTCAAAATTAATAAAATAAGGACTAAACTGTTATCAACTAAAGTGTTTAAAGAGTATATGCGCCAATTACTCTTTTAATTTTATAGAATAACTGTTTAACTCCTTTTTATGTACGTTTTCCCTTCTTGTTAAGATGTGCTGGAAACTGGAATACAGATTTATTTTACTTGATGGTTAAATCATTAGGAAGTTATTACTTTATATGATTTTTTTTCGTGCTAATTAAATATATATGACCTTTTACCACACATAGAATTAGATATTTGGTGGATGAACGCTGCTTCCTTCGTGGGTGTCAATTTCGTCTCCACATCATTAAGAAAATATTACTTTATATGATTTTTTTTCGTGCTAATTAAATATATATGACCTTTTACCACACATAGAATTAGATATTTGGTGGATAAACGCTGCTTCCTTCGTGGGTGTCAATTTCGTCTCCACATCATTAAGAAAATGTCGTTCGGACCTTCTAGTTTGTTTCTTACTTGATGAACATTTCAACCCTTTCAGCTTTCAGCATGCCTAATAATGATAAACAGGTAAAATCCTGTTTGCATAATTGATTCACTTTTGGGATGTTGATAAGAGTAATTTGTACATACCATGACAGAAACTATGTTCTTTGCCTGTAATTAATTATTTCAAATGGGAATGAATAAACAATCTTTTTCATATCTTAATCATCAATATCAAGTTGGTCAAATGTTTCTGCCAAACCTTGGATACTATATGTTTTATTATTAAGCGTGTGCAAGTGCAAATCTTAAACGCAACTTTATTGCAATAAGTGCACGCATGAGCGACATGTGTTTGTGCGTGCCTTGGGCTAATAGGGTAGGCTTGAAAGTAGCTAAAGTATCACATAGTTATTATTACATTTTTACTGTTTGGTGCACAGGTTTAGGGAGGACTGAATAGGACTAAATTTTAATATTGTATTGGTGCACATTTTTAAAAGACTGAATTGGATAAACTATTATCTAGTTCATTATTAAATCACCTTACAAGAGGATGTTACTATCTCCTACTGAAGTATGAGATAACTTTTGACTAATGCAAGACACTAGGGATCTATTTGTAATTTTTTATAAAATTTAGGGTCTAGTTGTAATTTTTTAAAAATTGAGGAGTCAAATTGCAATTTTTGTACATGTGAAATATTTTAAAAAATTAGATTTTTACCCCCTAATTTTTGAAAAATTACAAATTAACCCTAAATTTCAAAAAGCTTACAAAAATGCTCTTATTCTAATAACACAACACTAAGGATGGGATTAGATTACACTAAAATCGAACCCTATACTTTCCTATATATATTCCAATTCATTGTCCTAAAACTATACTATCCTATCCAACGCACCAAACGGAGCCTAAATACTACAATTGAAGTGCTAATTGTAAATTTAGTATTTGAGTGAAAAAAAACACTCTCGAAAGCAATGCTTGACATAAAGTTTTAACATATAATAAATTTGACATTTGATTGTTATTGGTTAAAATGTTTACTTTTTCATGTAATCATTGCAATTTTTACAATTTTTAATTATTTTTAAAATAAAAGTATAGATAAATTTATAACTTTTGTAATCATTACTTTTATAATTTTTAAAGCTTAATGATTATGAGAAAAAGTATTGATAAATTTTATTTTTCCTCTTGAATTTTGGTCTCTTTGTCACTTTAGCCCTCAAATTTTGAAAATTAATATGCGCACCCCCCAAATTTTAAAACATTACCAACTTTGCCCCTTCTGTTGGTTTTATTAACGGATATAATGACATGATAATTATTGGAGGGTTAATTTAATAGATTATTTTTGTAAATGTCTCTCAAATTATGTACTCTATTTAAAAATGCCATGTTCTATTAATTATACTTGCAAGGGCACGAATCAATTGAAATATAGATCAATGAGCAAATGTGGTCGAACCCGCAAGAATTGTTAAAATTATGAAAAATTACGAAATAACCTAGCCTAATTCTAGCCTAACTCAAGAGAATTCAAATTGTTTGGAGAAAGAAAACTAAATTAATGAAAGAAAACATATTAACGCAAGCAAATAAACTGAACCCATGAGATGAAAAATTAGAAACTAGCAACGTTTCGGAATACACCACTATTTAACTTGGCAATTCTCTAATTGCCACTTAATTCCAAAATTGAAGTCATAACTCGAAATCGATATCTATTGCCAACTTGCAGATTTAAAAATTAAGTGTTGTAGAGGTCGGATTCTACAACTAAGGGCCCGTTTAGTTAACTGATTCGAGTTTTTAATTCGAGTTAAGATGTGATTTTATGTGAGAACTTTTTACTGTAGCAAAAAAGTTAGATGTAATTGTTTGTGAGAGCTTTTTACTGTAGCAAAACTCGAATTCTAAACTCGAATTAACGAAATGAACGGGGCCTAAATTTATTAAAGGGCCAATAGCTGCTTGCAAACGTCAATCGAGATTGGTGGGCCGATTTGGTCTCTATTCTATCGGATGTTAGAACGAGAAAGTAAAGTGCATAAAAATAAAAGAACACATGGATTTATAGTGATCCACATTCAATGTGAATGCTACGTCTACTATAACGTCTCAGGACTTCACTATAAGCTTTCAAAAGTATAAGTACAATGGTGACGAAGAAAGAGAGAGAGAGAGAGCAGAAGGGGGTTTAGAGAGTGAATTTAGAGAGCCGGAGTAAATATGCAAAATGTGATCCCTATAATTTGTGGAGCAATCTTTATTTATAGCACATGATTTGAGCCTCAATAGTTTCCCAATTCTCTTGAGGTTTCACTGTTGACTGGAGAAAAGACAATTTTTTTTTTTTTTTTTTTTTGAGGAAAAGATGTCAATTCGTGAAAATGCAGTTTCCGTGTATGACTTTAGTTGATTTTCCTT